CCCCCAAAAAAAAAAACCTCGTCTTTTATGGAACTACCAACAGAGGCATATTTAGCCCTATGGTACCGGGTTCATCTGAACCCAGTACTTTTAACGCGAAGCATGATTTACATATAAAAATTCATTAAAATTGTAGCAAATAGTAGATATGAATCCATAACTTTAAAAATATAATGGGTTTAATGCTAAAAGACTTGGAGATTGAACCCATACAGTTTAGATCCTGGATCTGCCTTTGACTATCATTGATTTTTCTTTGAACTCCTCTACAATATTGCATTCTCAGCACTTGATGTTATTTATTTTATTTTAAGGAGAGGAGAGGAGAGGGAGAGGGGGGGNAAGCATGCTTCTTGAATGGTTAAGAGCAAAATAAAGGGTGAAACGGCCATACTTGCATGGCTGCATTCCGCTGAATGCAAATGAGAAGGATGGAAAAACAGGAAGCTACAACCTTAGAGAAGCAGAAATCAATTTTAGTCAGTACATCATTCAACCTCTATTGAACTAGTTACACCTCCTTTCAGAATCAGGTGCAGCCTCTTCACCAAGGCTTTTCTTTTTCCAAAATAAAGTCTCTGTCACCTATTAGCTTCTTAGCTAACAATAAGAGATTAGGTCGCAGAAATTATCAATATTTTTTTAGATTGAACACAAATGATCAAATTTAACTAAACAACAAAGAGAAGATGGCAGAGCCTTGGGAAACACTCAGCTTATGCACAAGCACTGTGGGAAACAAAAAAATGATTTAAACCACCCTTACAGCTTGGCTACCCACACAAACTAAAAAGTGGAAAAACTTCCAACCAGAACAAAACGCAGGCATTCAAGACAGCCAGGTGATCGGCATGAATATGACAATCCATGTATTAGCACCACTAAACATTTCAGAGAGGAAAGACATAAGAGCAATAATAAAGTGCAGTACCTCGTTTAATCGCGGTACAACACGCATGACCTCCGGACCTCTACTATCAATTCGAATGTTAGAACCAACGGCATCAGTCACATCAATGCTTTCTGTGCCCTTTAGCTCCCAATTTCTGGCTTTAAAGGCAAAAGGTTTTGAGGTAAGGGCTCCAACTGGACAAATATCAATCACATTCCCTGAAAGTTCACTTGTCATAAGTTTTTCAACATAAGTTCCAATTTCTTCTCCACTACCACGACCCAACATTCCAAGGTCCTCCGTTCCAGCTACTTCTGTAGCAAACCTGACGCACCTGTTACACCAACAGCAAAAAATTAGAGGATACCGTGCAAGAGATATAAAATGCACAAGCAAGTCTTTACTAATCCTCATGTATCTAAAGCTCAAACCAGTAAATATTTGTTGCACTCAATCTCTCACAACTGCCCCAAAGTTTTCTTATAGCTATAGCACCAAAGAGATCAAATTTAGCAGTTATCAATGGGAAGGAATAGCTTAAAAGGGCATAACCACATTGGAGAAATGAAAAAAACCAGTATAAATCATTCTGTTGTAGGACGGTATATATAGCAAAATATGAATGTAATATTCTATGAATTACACAGATTAGGAGAAAAAATGAAAAAGACAGGCTGGCGTTTTCCGCTAGGCTACTGGCACTATGCAAAACTTCCTATAGTTTTTTGAGAAAGACTGACCCTAAGCAGAAGTTCCTGTAACACATCAATGTTCCCTAGAATTACCATATCCATCTTATTAGGCTACCTCCTTCATTTGTTTTTTCTTTTTCCGGTAGGATATTAGACTGACTCTTCTTCAAACCTTTCTTAATAGAAATCATATATATAAGGGAAAACTTGCAAGTTTTTTCATGAGATTTGGGAACCATAAATAAAATACAATATTGACGGTTACTTCTGTTACATCAACTCAAGATATGCGTACGATTCAGGATGCGGGTGAATGTAACTATCCAATATACATCTGTACCTTTTTGCTATTTTAATCTAAATTAAAACCTGCACAAAGTACCTAACTCAAGTCACACCTGCTTGACCAGGGTACATCATGGCACATGAAGGATCCATGTAGCATAGACTTGGCATCTCACAAATTACAATTTTTTTTTTTTTTTGAAAATGAAAAAGTGGACACTTTTCATAGTCCGACCACAATGTCAGTTGAACCCACACTTGCAACAATAGTTATCAAGTTTCGGTCCCATACATCAAAGTTGATTTGAACCTTCACATCACAAAATAAATCGAACCACTCACATTTTACATTTGACAAATAACACAAGGTAAGAATCAAACACAGACCTTGTACACTGGATGCACCGGGTCATCACAGTCTTCACCAATGGGCCCAAATTCTTGTCAACCACAGACCTCTTCATTTCAGTGAAACGCCCGCGGTCTGAGCCAAAGGCCATAGACTGATCTTGGAGATCACATTCTCCTCCCTGATCACAAATTGGACAATCCAGCGGATGATTCATAAGCAAAAACTCCATGACTCCTTCACGAGCCTTTTTGGCAATAGGTGTATCTGTCTTGATCTTCATTCCTGTAAGAGTAATCTCCAGATAAATTTGCAATCCAAGGAACAGATGGAAAAGCAAACAGTAATATGCCAATAATAGCTCAACACTAACTATGAATAGATCAGCCTTCGTGAGAATCATCAAATGCCTAGCGAACAACAACAACAACAGGTCAAGATGTTACTAAGCTAAAGAAAACCATACCTATAGAAAAAATCAAAAAGTACCAGCTTTCTATAATTCTTCACAGGGGAAAATTGAAGAAAATAAAGGGCCATAGAAACTTTGTCTTGACCAAAACTTAATTATTATTTAGTACTGATCCAATGCAGGTAATATTACCACTCAAGAGCATACAGGCTCAAATGAACATATCACTAACCCATAATATACGGGTTTGTTAGCTAAAAAGCTCTATTTTTGTCGCTTCTTCTTCGTGAGATCAAAAGACGGTCTTTTTTAGTTGACCCTTGGTACAACTATATAATTGCACATATGGTTACCTGCACTTCATGAGTTTGATGCATATAAGCAGCCTCTTTTGGAGAAATACAATGAGAAGATTGCATATGTACCTAATTGAGAGCACTTCTTTAATATTTTTTTCTTTCTAAAAAAAGCACTAATCCAATATCACCACTCAAGGAAACACACCCTTAACACCCAAGGATGTGGCCTAGTGGTCAATAAAGTAGGCAAGAAACAAGAGGTCTCAGATTCAGTTCCAAGTGGAGACAAAAAACACAAGGTGATTTCTTCCCATTCTATCCATTACTTGGTACTTGTTGCTGCTGGTGGGAGGCAACAAGTATCTGGTGGAATTAGTTGAGGTGCGCACAAGCTGGCCCGCACACCATGGTTGTCGGGAAAAAAAAACCTCAAATGAACATATGATCACCACTATCAACCCATATTGTCTGCTTTGGTTAAGCGCAAGATATTAAGCAGGAAATCTCTCTATTCATTTATTTCCTTATTTTCTCACATGTCCAAATAGAACCGAATAGATATTGTGAATTGTCATAGCTGACCCAACAAATTAATGTATTATGTAAAAAAGACGTTTTTGAGAGCTTAAACAAGCATTTAAAGCATCAAATTGAGCATATAAATCCAAAGGGATTTAAGTTATATACACTCACATTGTAATGATGTGTTTACACTATCAGTGAACTATAACATGTGATAGCAGATTAGTTATTATTTTTACAATTTTACCAGATTGCCAATTACCCCCTTTATTTGATGCACTTTCTTTTTAATTTGTTTCTCTCATTTATAATCACATCACACAAATATCTATGGCTTGTTTTAGGATCACAAGTTTCAAAAGGCTTACTTTCTTACTTAAGCTGTGTTCAGCCAAACATCATCACATAAAATGGGATAGAGGAAGTATTAAAAAGACATTTTTAGAGCTTCAACAAGCATCAAATGGAGCATAAAAATCCAAATACAAATCGAGATCAATAAACTAATCAGTATTACCTGGAAGTGCAGGCATGGCACAAGAAGCAACAGGCTTAGGAGATTTCTCAACCTCAACAAGACACATCCGGCAATTTCCAGCAATACTTAGCCTGCTATGGTAACAAAACCTAGGGATATCAACTCCAGCAATTTCACAAGCTTGAAGTACAGTCATGCCCTTAGGGATTTTGACCGGGTACCCATCCACAAAGACCTCGATGACGTCATCCGGGTTAGGGAAATGAACTCGTGCCCCACCAACCGGGCTTCGATCTGACGGTACGGGTGCTGGTGCCGTTGCTGCGGCGGCATCGGCGTTGTTTAGTTCCGGTGTGGAGACGATGGTGCGGAGTACGGAATTGGTCGGGTTACGGAAGATTCTAGAAGATCGTAGGGCTCGAGAAGCGAGTAACCCTAATCCCATTGTGAGAGATAGATATCTTCTTCAGTTGTGTTGTGAAATGGAAATGAGGAGAGTATTTGGAGTGTGGAGAGCAGATGTGCTACGTTTGGTTTCAACGGAGCAGGGAAATTTGTGGGAATGGAGTTCGGGTCGGTTTGCAAGCGGATTGGGCTTCTGAGTTTTGGGCTTTAAGTAAACTGGCCCATTAATATATGGGCTTAAGTGTGTACAGTGGAGTGGATTGGTACGACAAAAAATTGCGAAATACGACATTTTTGGGATGGTCTTTAACTTTTGACCCCCGCTTGTCCTATGTGCAGACTTCAAGGTTCAAAGTTATAAGTGTTGCCCATGGGGCAAGCGAGGAGCAACACTTGTTAAACTTGAAGTTCTGCCTATGGGACAAGCGGGGACAAATTTAAGATCATCTACTTAGTATTTTAAGATAGGGGCGGATCCACCTCCCGACCTACGGGTTCACGTGAACCCAGTAAATTTTGTTCAAACACTCTAAATATGTTCGAAAAATTTACTAAATATTTAAATGTGAACCCAGTTACTATTGAAAATTTACTCGAGATCATTACAGGAACCCATAAATATTAAATCTTGGATTCGCCGCTACTTCAATACAATGTGCCTTTTAGGTTTCTCCTTGGGAAAGTGCACAGATAGCCGTTTCTAGGACCCCTATTTAAGACATAACCGAAATTTATAATTTTAGTCATATAACTTGTCTATATTTTCATTAATGTGGTGCTTATGCTTTCTGAGCCGATGGTCTATTGGAAACAATTTCTCTATCCTCACAATAGGGGTAACGTCTGCGTACACACTACCCTCCCCAGACCCCACAATATGGAATAATACTAGGTATGTTGTTCTTGTTAGTCATAAAACTGAAATTTGTAAAAGTTTAGTCATATTTTAGAATTAACTTCGCGTCAGCAGTTACAAATTTTGTCTAAAGTTTAGTCTGCAGTAGATTGTCTAGAATTTGGCTTGATCTGATGGAGCAGCTCCTTTCCCTGGTGTCAAGCATTTTAAAATGTTTCAAATGGATAGACTTCATCATATAAATAGGGGGGACGACAATAAGCTTCAATACCATTTTGGTTAGTTTTCTAAAAATTCATAAAGAGATGGAGTATTATTTAGCTGTGTCGTGTGAACCGAGGAGTATACGAATTATTACCTTCTGGATATATAGACCCTTGTGGTCCGGCCCTTCCCCGGACCCCACGCATAGCAAGATCTTAGTGCACCGGGCTGTCCTTTTTGGATATATAGGTGCATCCACTTCGGAATTGATATCTCAGGCTAATACTAACACAGCATATCTTCAAAAGTTTCTTTAGTACTTGCATTGAACTGAGAAACTGGATTGAAATTACCCAAAAATTTCTTAGCATTTACCCATTGCCAATTAGACCTAAGCTAATCAACCAATTTTAAGGGTGTGTAACATTTTCCCGAAAATATAATATTTTTCAAAAGAAAGTGTCTCACTATTCAACATTCTAAAATTTAGAAACTATTTACAATGGGCTATCAAAGAAAAACATAAGCGAAGGAAGTCATTTTTCGTCCTTTAAATGGAAAGGACTCTTCAAAGAAATTAGTTTTTAGTGTTTGGTTGCTAGCAAAATGACTTATTTTCCAGAAAACATTTGCTGTTTTCCTTCATACCAAACACACCCTACGATCCACAAAAATGTATCCATCACATGCTGTGAATCAGTCCAACTCCTCTGCGCCACGAAATTATCCTTCGAGAACTTGGGAAATCAGTCTAATGTTTTCCCAGATCTTGTAAAATACTGTTCCAAGCTGCTTTTATTCACAAATATGCGAAAAAGAGAGTGATGTAATTTGACATGTTAGAAACTTTAAATATCTCATGGCTGCAGCTTACACTTCAATATTGTCCGCAATGCCAACGACAATTCTTCACCCTGGTGGGAGCATACAATTGCATAGCATTTTTCACCTTGTGTTTTAAGCAATATAACAGGGAAGAATAACATTTCCTTCTCGTCATTTTGCGAGGCTGTGCTTTACAAGCAATCAGAATGCTATTTCAACAAAAATATGTTTTATCAAGAATTTCTATGCTAATCTCGTTTCAAGGCCTTTGTTATGAAGGCTTTTGCCATTACTGTTATAATGTATGACAAAACTGTAACAGCAATACCTAGCAGCAGAATCCAAGTGTCAAATCTAGTGTCCTGTACTGTGTAGACACGAAGCTTTATTGTTTCCCAGTTACTCTCTGTCCAAACAGGGTCAGCTTCTCCCATGATATCGGAGGAATTATGAGGTAAAACCTCCCAAGTGTCAGATTCGTACTTCAATCGAGTTGAGTATGCTGGGATGTACCTGGAATTACATTTGATAGATGAGTTCACAGCAAGAGCAAGAATAGCACTATATAGCCGTCGAACAACAATGGTGTAAATTACATTATGAAGACAGCCCAATCAGCCTAGAAATCCAGTCACAGTACCGACAAAAGTATATACAGGCGGAAAGTGAACAATCCTCATAAGCTTTTTGCTTTTTGAAAAAGAAAATTCTAAAGTTAACCTTTTCCTTGTTTTGTTAGAACAAATAGGCAAGCTGACCAAACCGTCTATGTTTTTTATCAGCTATGGAAGTCAATGTAGTTGTAAAAGCTTATGACAGGAAGAATAGATCGGGTTTTGGCTTGCTTCCTTGCTTAAAGCAACAAAGCAATGGCTTTTGCTAACATATAAGGCGGCATGAGCTTATTTTAAATTAAAATTGTGCAACTACCTGGTTGTGGAAATGACACAGACACCCTTCCCATCTGTCTCTGCTTTGACACACATTTCCCCTTTGCCGCTGCAGCCCTTTGGACAAGTAGAGCTCAAATTCTTTGAAGGGATAGCTGTTTTATCAGCCAGAAAATTCCACACAAACCGAGGAACATCGCCCACATTACCAGGATATGGCTGAGAGGAAGGTTCCCCCAGGACGACTCCCACATAATGGCTTGGGCAACTTGTAGAGGGAGCGATGTAGCGATTTACCAGTTCACACGATAATCCGGGTTCACAACTCAACAAGCAGCCGAGGAGTTCTTCAACCAAGGAGGCATTTATGTTGATGGTATTCAAAGCTGAAGTTTTAATTTCCTTCTTATTACTGGCCAGAATGTACAGACTTCGGGCAACAACAGAAGCAGCGGCCACTATGGCCGAGGAGTTTATATTCACTGCTAACATGGAAAATAATATTTTAAATTAGAAAACATTATGTGATACAACAGTACTATGAATTAATCCGGGCAAAGGCAAGGAATCCAAAGAGTGAAAATAGCAACTCACGTAGATCATCCAAGTGGCTGTGGTAGAATTTATTAGTGAAGGCAGTATCAAAGTCTTCAAGGACTACCCCAGAAGTCTTTGGATTCTGTTTAAGAAGAAACAATAAATAGGCTCCCACATAGCTAGATAAAACAAACTGGTAAAAAGTTTTTATTTTTATTTTTTATAAGGACAAACTGGTAAAAAGTTTCTCATTCAATTAATACATCTTTTTCCTCTTTTCGTTGATAGCAACTGATTTTCAATTCTATCATCATCAACAAACCTGCAATCCTCCATCAAAGACCTTGTTAATGGTCAATAATTTGCATATCTTTGTTGCTCTTACTAAAGTTCATTATCCAAACTTCTGCTCATACTCAAGTAACTCTATTCTAAAGCAATAAAGAAAGCAGACACCATTCAGATATTCGCAGGATGTTTCCAATTCCATTATTCCCTTCAGCCATTTTCCGCCACCATCCTATCCTCCCCCCCCCCC